GTACAGGCTGTTTAAACCAGTACACCTCGCCTTACAGCAGAGATTAACTTCCATGGGATGGTTCAGAAAAAGGGCCATACATCCTTGTTTGTATTACAGGGGAACATTAGATCCTGCGATTTCAGGGCCATTCTGCTAAGCGTTGTGCATCGCGAGAGACAGGTCATGAGGATCTTAACAATCTAAACAGACTAAAGGTATGTCTACACTACGAAATTAAGTTGATTTTATAGAAGTCGATTTTTTAGAAATCGATTTGATACAGTCGATTGTGTGTGTCCCCACGAAGCGCATTTAGTCGGCGGAGTGCATCCACAGTACCGAGGCTAGCATTGACTTTCGGAGCGTTGCATTGTGGGTAGCTATCCCACAGTCCCCGCAGTCTCTGCCACCCATTGGAATTCTGGGTTGAGCTCCCAATGCCTGATGGAGCAAAAACATCGTCGCAGGCGGTTTTGGGTACATGTCGTCAGGCCCCCCTTCCTCCCTCCCTTCCTCCCTCCGTGAAAGCAACGGCAAACAATCATTTCTCGCCTTTTTTCCTGGGTTACCCGTGCAGACGACATACCACGGCAAGCATGGAACCCGCTCAGCTCACCGTACATCTCCTGGGTGCTGGGCACCGTGCGGTCACACCTACCCCTTGCTCCCGTGGCTCATGAAGCCTGGACAGTAGTAAGGAACAGGTCAACCTTAGGGTGAGCAAGTGCAGAATGGTGGTAGAATGTGGCTTTGGACATTTAAAAGCTCGCTGGCGCTGTTTGCTGACTAGGCTGTTTGCAATTAGAAGAGCACAGCAAGGCGCGCTGTGCATCACAGAGGCTTTGAAAACCAGTTTCATGACTGGCCAGGCTTTGGTGTGACAGATGTGTGTGTTTCTCCTTGATGCAAACCCGCCCCCTTTGTTGATTTTAATTCCCTGTAAGCCAACCCTGTAAGCCATGTGGTCTGTTGCCCCTCCCTTCGTGAGAGCAACGGCAGACAATCTTTTCGTGCCTTTTTTCCACACAGACGCCATGCCACGGCAGTTATGAGCACTGTAAACACCACGCGCATTATCCTGCAGTATATGCGGCACCAGAAACTTCAAAAGCAGGCGAGGAGGCGACGGCAGCGCAGTGACGAGAGTGATGAGGACATGGACACAGACTTCTCTTAAAGCACGGGCCCTGGCAATTTGGACATCATGGTGGTAATGGGGCAGGTTCATGCCATGGAACGCCGATTCTAGCCCCGGGAAACAAGCACAGACTGGTGGGACTGTATAGTGTTGCAGGTCTGGGATGATTCCCAGTGGCTGCGAAACTTTTGCATGCGTAAGGGCACTTTCATGGAATTTTGTGACTTGCTTTCCCCCGCCCTGAAGCGCAAGAATACCAAGATGAGAGCAGCCCTCACAGTTCACAAGCAAGTGGCATTAGCCCTCTGGAAGCTTGCAAGGTCAGTTGGGAATCAGTTTGGACTGGGCAAATCTACTGGGGGGGCTGCTGTGATCCAAGTAGCCAACGCGATATCTGAGCTGCTGCTACCAAAGGTAGTGACTCTGGGAAATGTGCAGGTCATAGTGGATGGCTTTGCTGCAATGGGATTGCCTAACTGTGGCGGGGTGATAGACAGAATACATATCCCTATCTTGGGACCGGATCATCAAGGCAGCCAGTACATAAACCGAAAGGGGCACTTTTCATTGGTGCTGCAAGCACTGGTGGATCACAAGGGACGTTTCTCCAACATCAACTTGGTACATGATGCTTGCATCTTTAGGAACTCTAGTCTGTGTGAACGGCTGCAGCAAGGGACTTACTTTCCAGACCAGAAAATAACCGTTGGGGATGTTGAAATGCCCTTGGGAAATATCCTTGGGAACCCAGCCTACCCCTTAATGCCATGGCTCATGAAGCCATACACAGGCACCCTGGACAGTAGTGAGGAGCTGTTCAAATATAGGCTGAGCAAGTGCAGAATGGTGGTAGAATGTGCATTTGGACGTTTAAAAATGCGCTGGTGCAGTTTACTGACTCGGTTAGACCTCAGCAAAACCAATATTCCCATTGGTTATTACTGTTTGCTGTGTACTCCACAATATCTGTGAGAGTAAGGGGGAGACGTTTATGGCGGGGTGGGAGGTTGAGGTAAATCGCGTGGTCACTGATTACGCGCAGCCAGACACCTGGGAGGCTAGAAGAGCACAGCAGGGTGCACAAAGCCACGATTCTTCTTGACAGTCCCACAGGGCTGCAAGAAGGGGGGCATTATCTGTTATCTTTCTTGTATCATATAATTATTTCACTTTTTGCTACTTCTGTATTTTTTCTTTTCCCTTCGCTATTTTTTCTTTCTTTTCACTTTTTCCACTTTGTTGTCATTTGTTTTTCTGGTGTTTTAAAATCAATTACTATTTGTAAGCAGAGTCAGAATGTCTACCCTGACATCTGGTGGTGAACTGTGGAAAAAGACTTCAGGTGCTGATCCTGATTGCATGGATACACCCACCTTGTCTAGCATGAAGGGACTGCTTGCCAAATGGTCACTCTGGCTGTTGTGGGATCCCCAGTCTCTTTGTTATTGGGGCAGGAGCAATGACGTGTTGTTATCCTGGTTATGTGAATCAAGGACAGTAGAACTGTACTTGGCATTTTATGATGGAGGGACTCACTCTCAACTTATTTCAGAGTAGCAGCCGTGTTAGTCTGTATCCGCAAAAAGAAGAACAGGAGTACTTGTGGCACCTTAGAGACTAACAAATTTATTAGAGCATAAGCTTTCGTGGACTACAGCCCACTTCTTCGGATGCATAACTCTCAACTTAGTAGCACTTGCTAGGCAAGGGACATGAGTTCCAATGCCCAGGGTTAGTAAGGCTATGTGCATGTTTTCAATGTGCAATAATAGAGCTAATTTTGAGTGCATTAGGAGTGTTGTTACATGCTACAGAGCTGAAATTATTGGTACCTGGGTCTAAGCATTAGACCTACTTTGGGCTAGTGGTGCACCAGTACTGAGGCTCTCCTACTATTAGCTGAAGTCACTGAGAGCTGTGTTAAGGGGATGGGGGGTGCCTGAAGACAAGTTAGTGAGTGGCTAGTGGAAAGGAGTGGATAGGCTAGCGGGGCAGCTGGTGGTGGAGACTACAGCAGAACCCCATGGAGAGGTTGGCAATCGGCTGTCAAACCAGAGCAGTGACACATGTAAGATGCACCCCCCATACCTCCTCCCACTTCCACCTGGGCTGGGAGGTAAACTCTCCAGAGGAAATTCTGAACTCTGGGGGTTGCACTGACCAAGGATAGAAATTGTGGGAGGGGTGATGGTTGGGTTGCTGGACTTAAGCCCCTGAGGGGAAAAGGACACTGCCAAACTTACTTGGGGATGGGTCTTTTGCTCATGGGTTGTGTTGTGAATCCGGTTTGTGGTGTTTCCCCAACATAATGCCACATTCCTTTATTAAAAGGCTTTTGCTACACTCAGACTCTGTGCTTACGAGCAGGGAAGTATTGCCTCTTAGAGGTGCCCAGGGGGGTGGTATGTAATCGTCCCAGGTCACTGGGTGGGGGCTTGAGCTGGTTTTGCATTGTGTTAGTGAAACGGAACCCCTAGATACAGAACCTGGCCCTTGTTAATGCCAGCTCTGACGGGCAGAAGGGTTACATATTGTTTCTATAACTCGGCTTTTCCCTGGGGGCAGCATCTGTTTCCACTCCCTCCTGGTAAACAACCACCACATAGTCTTGGCTCTGGGCCGCGCTGATGATAAACCGCACCCAGCTTTCCCTGCAGCTGCAAGGGGAATCCCGGCTTGTCGCCTGTGCAGATTCCTGAATGTATGGCTGGCTCCTTAGCAAACTTGTCACTCAGTTCCCTGGCCACTAAACTCCTAATTTGTTTTGGATCTAAAGAAACTGGGCAGCTCCGTAGGTGTATCTGAAATTCACAAGTTCGGCCAGTGCTGGGCTAGTTAATTCTGTCTGTGTCTTGGTACCCAATAAATGAGAGCGACAAGGTGGGTGAAGTAATATCTTTAATTGGACCAACTTCTGCTGGTGAAAGAGACAAGCTTCCCCAGACCTGAAGAAGAGCTCTGTGTAAGCACAAAAGCGTCTCTTTCACTAACAGACGTTAGTACAATAATAGATATTCCCTTGTCCACCTTGTCTCTCTAATATCCTGGGGACCACACGGCTACAAGAACACTGCGAACCCAATCAAAAACTCATCCTCAGCTCACTATTAACGATCAAATCACTGGCCTGGCTTATGTGGTGGGAGTGGTTCTTTGGAATTTCAGAAGAAAGTCAATAAATCCACTTCTCTCCCTCTGGTTAATTACAGCTGCCTCCTAATGGCCAGACATGAGTCAGTCAAAGCCTTCATGAAGCAAGAGGCCAGGCTGCTACTCGCTTCCCATTTGGGTCCAGCGAAACTCCAGTCCCAATGGAGCCGAGGAAACCTTTCCCAGTTAGCTCGTCATCATGAGGATTTGGCAGTTGGTCCCTATATAAAGGGAAGAACAGAGCTACAGACAGAGGGAGAGGGACAAAGTGGACAACTGCCTCTTCTGCTCCACCTTCGCTGCGATAAGTCAAAGGGGCTGGAGGTAAGTGCGCCGGCGGGGTCTTGTTCTGCTCAGCCGCTGCTGCTGTTTGTTGAGAGGCTGATTGTAACTAATCCATCCAGACCAGGATCCCGCTGCTGATCTTGAGCCAGGCAGCTCCAGGAGAAGGGACCTGAACCTCCCCAAACAGACCTGCCTAGACAGGACGTTTCCCCCTAGTGCCGGCTCTTGAGCGGTTGGCTTGTGTCCTAGATTGTGAGGCCCCCAATCCTACCTGGCATGACCATGGAGGGGTTTATTATCAACAGACACGTCTAAGCCTTTGGCACGTCCTGCCGAGTGCTTTGCCTTGATTAGATCATGGTGCAGTGTGTTCCACAGGCTGATTGTGCTTTAAGGAAAAACTGTTTTTTTCCCCCTTGAATTGCTCTTCAGTTTGTCCGCTGGCTCGGAGAAAGGCGGTGGGCTTGACTCCTGGCCTGGGACGCTGGGCACCGGGGTTCTCATCCTGGCTGCACTGCTAGTTGACTTTAGGGAAAGTCACTTCCTATGTCTGTGACTCAATTTCCCTGTGTAGAAAATAGAGATAATGCTCACAGCTGCCTTTGTAAAGTGCTTTGAGTGCCACTAGGTATGATGCTTCCTAAAGGGGTGCTAGTGGTTAGGGCACTAACCTATCTCTTAGGTGCAATGGCATCAAGTCCTTACTAAGCTACAGACCTCCTGGGTGTCCTTGAGCAAGTCACGTAGCCTCCCTGTGTACTGGGGATACCAGCACTTCCCTGTACCCCCAGAGTAAGCAACATCATGACGGTGAGGTGCTTTGCTAATGAAAGGCCACATAAGTATCTAAGCTACATAATAACATCTAGTGCTGTTCACCAGTAGATCTCAAACCGCTTTACAAAACAGGGCAGTATCATTATCCCCCTTGTACAGATGGGCAACTGAGGCACGGGGAGGGGCATGACTCACCCCAAATCACCTGATCAGTAGCAGGAATAGAACCTAGGACTCACACCCTCTAGCCCGGCATGCTACTCATGAGCCAACATTGCCTCTGTCAGAGCAGCTAAGTCTGCGATAAAAACCAGACCATGGGTGGACATTTCTTCCCAGCCTCAGGGGCTGCAGCAGGGAATCTCGGCCCTGGGTTGTTTCTGTGCAGCGCGCTGTGCGCTCTCCGTTAATTCGAGATGTATCTTCCAGCTGCTGAACAACGCGCTCGGACATGGGGCTCGGAAAGGCCAAGCTGCTCCTGTGGGCCAGGATGGTCGTGCTCTGGGGTGAGTGATCCAGGGCTCACAAAGGCGCCTCTGTCTCTTTCTTCGCAGCATGACAAGCTCATCACCTAACTGTGGGTGACGCCCAGGAGTTTGGGGCCATTTTAGATTTAACTAGGCCCCCACTCTCCCCCCAGATCCAGGTTAGACCCCAGGAGTCCTGACAGGGCTCGCCATGCTGCAGGGAACAGGATGGGAGGCTCAGTAGGGGGCGCTGTGCTGCAGGGAGTGGGGCATGGAGCTCAACAGGGGGCACTGTGCTCCAGGGAGTGCGGAGGGGCCTCAGCAGGGGGCGCTGTGCTGCAGGCAGCAGGGTGGGGGCTCTGTAGGGGGCGCTGGGCTGCAGGGAGCAGGGTGGGGGCTCTGTAGGGGGCG